TTATAGAAAACAGGGAGGGGGGAGTCAGTGTGAGGAGGGTGAGTCATGTATCGACTGAACTGTTACTACAAACACACACTCACACACAAATATGTGCCTGTAGATAAATATAGACTATTTTATTTTAATTCTCTTTTCTCCACGGCTCCACCTCTGGTTGACTTTAGTCACTGCTGTATTTGTGGCTTCATTTAATGTTTTTAGCCATTAAAATAAATGTTGTATCAACGGGGAAACTACAACACACAGCTGATGTAGCAGCAGTTGACATGCTAACATGTTCACGTTCCACAGAACAGAGTGGAGCAAAATGTTAGAGTAAAAAAAAATCAATTTATATATTATTTTATAATATATATAATTATGTACATATATGTCCTAGTGAGAGCCTGTGAAACGGCATCATCTGATTGGTCAGAGCTGCTCTGAGGCTGTGCTGTCATTTAACATATTGGTTTTAACCAGAATATGCTTAGCTTTAAGCAAAATGGGCTTTAGGGAGCAGGCTGCTAAACACCGCACCATCTGCACAAGAGGTGAGCTGTGTGTGTGCACGTGTGTGTGCTAGGCAGCTAACTCTAGTATGATGTGCTTCCCAGATTGGTTTTAATGCGGATTAGAGTTTTGGCCATTCCTCTCTCCTTACTGTCTGCTGCCTTCATGTCAGGCTACACACACACACACACACACACACACACACACACACACATGGACCTTCAGTCATCAGTCAGTGACTTTCTCTGTCTTTCTGGTTAATTCTTCAATCATCATGAATTTATTCTTTGACAAACGCAGCCAATCCAGTCGCAGCTAAACCAATACTTTCATGATGAAATATGACACAATAAAATCTTATGACCCCAAACTGGTAGCAGTGGAGACGGGGAGATAAACTAGGTCCCAAACAGATGGGCTCCTCACAGCTCTGTGTGTCTGTGTGTCTGTGTGTGTGTGTGTTGGACGTTTTTACTGTCCAACTGTTTCCATTAGGTCAAAGACAAACAGAGAGACAGTCCTTTGTCTTTTCAGTGTCCACTTGTGCTGAGAGATACTTCAAATAAAACCATACCTGTGTACTACATACAGTATGTGTGTATTTACTCTCTCTTTATAGCTCTCTGTGGTTCTGGTGTGTACTTGTGTGTACTACTACTACTACTACTGCACTCTGTCTGGAACTTCCTGTTCCTGTAGTACATCAACAACAACAACAACAGCAACCTGTGTGTGTGATGTGGTTCCTACATGGTTTCTTGGGGGGCAGAGCCAGCTGGGGGTTCAGGTATGGACTGTTGTCAGCATCTATCCTGCGCTTGTACTTCTGTCTCCCACCACGTACCCTGTCCAGACGAACACCTGGAACAAAAAAAACATCAATGAGTCAGTCGGTCTGACAGAACAACAACAGCAACAACAGCAACAACAACAACAACAACAACAGCAACAACGACGACGAGCTGTGCCTCAGCCTCTGGGTCACAGTGGAACGTTTCGTGAGTGATGTCACTGACCTCTGTGAACTCACGCTACATGACGAAGGTTCTGGGTTGGGTCTCCAGTGAACTGACACCAACTTGTCTGTGTTTATGGTCTGTCTTTTCACTGGAAACTCTTAGAGAACCAAAGTCACATGGTCTGACGTTCTACATATCCTTCTGGAATGTTCAATTGTTTTCTTCCTCTGGTCCAATCTCCGTGTCTCTCTTTGTCTTGTTAATTAATTGACATAAAGGAATTCTCCTTCAATCAGCCTAATTCATCACGTTACCATGGTTACCGCTAGAAGATGGATAAAGAACACAGAGGTGTGCTGGGCCTCAAAGGAACAACTTGAATCTCAAAATCAACTCCTCTGGAATGTTCTTTAGAATTGTTTGTTAGACCTCAGGAAGTCTGACTACGTTACTGCATCCACTAAGTACAGGGCAGGACTAAAGTAACATATACTCCAACATATACTCCAACATATACTCCAACATATACTCTAACATCTTTTTTTAGTTTTCATAACCATGTGCTTTCACAAATCAGTTTGTTTTGAATTTACAGAAACAGTGACATAGTTTGTGTTTTCAGTAGGCAGTTTAGTCCATTGTACATGAGGTACTGCAATACTCCACGTAAGCCTGTGTGTGTGTGAGTGTTAGAAAACAAGAGAACAGACATGGGTTCTGCCAATGTCAGATCGACTGGGAGAAATCTGCTGCAGCAGCAGCTTGTTGACAGTGTGTGTGTGTGTGTGTGTGTGTGTGTTCACTGCGTGTTTGTGTGATGATCCTTCCTGTGCTGTGGTCCAGGTGAGTGCAGCTTTAATCATCAAATCCCAGTGAAGACTAAGCAGAGTCACAGGTTTTAGGGTGGGGGTCTGCTCCGACCACAGCTCAGTACAGACACCGGGTCATGTGAAGGTGGTTGGTCTAAAGAACCCTGAGTCCATCACGTCCAGGCTGTTTGTTCCTGACTTCATCACAGGAACAAACAGCAGCCTGTTCTCTGAGGTTCTACTCTGAGGTTCTACTCTGAGGTTCTCATATTGATGTTTGAGTGGGTGGAGAGCTGCAGGTATGGAGGAGGTCAGATGACCACAGAGACACTGAGTCCAGGAGGACGATGGATGAAAGTGAGGAGCACAAACGGAGGAGAAATACAGAGTGGGAGAAGCAGACAAGAATGAATGGAGGCAGAAAGCAGGTCCCTGACCAGGCTGAGGGGTGAGGGCGTGGACCCCGCCCCCATCAATAATAACCTCCACCCTCCTCCCCTCTCCTCTCCTCTCATACACATTCTGCTTATTTAACCATCCTCCCCCTGCCCTCCTTCCTCTCCTGGTCTCTGTGGCTCCTACAAATCAATCTCTCCTCCCTCCCTCGTACTTTCCCCTGCCGCCCCTCACCCACTACACCTCTCCTCTGTCTCACTACGGGCTGTCGTCTTCATCCTTCAACATTTTTCTCAATCGCTTCATTGGATGCAGTGGGAGAGGGAATATGGGAGGAAAACCAGAGGTGGGAGGGAAGGAGAGGCAGGGGCAACGAGAGAGGGTAAAACCAGGAGGGGGCGTAATTAATACATCAGTTTAGGATCAAACACATCTGATTATCACTGTCATTACTATCATTAGTCATCATTAGTAGTAGTACTAGTGGTAGTAGATGTAGTGGTGGTAGTTGGTTTGAAATCAATAAATAAATATTACCAGATTATAATTGTAGTGTTTGGACAATATCAGCATATTGGATATCAGCAGAAGGTTAATATCGGACATCCCTAGAATTTATTTTTACTCTATTTTATTTTGTGTTTTCATGAGTGTGTGTGTGTTCTTAAGGATGAACCATCAGAGGAAAGACCAGACAACAACAACGTTAAATCTACATTGTTGTACTTGTCGTAGTACGTGTTCTGTGTTCTTGTGGTGATGAGATGATGTACATCAGTGACTCCCCTCCTCCCCTGCCCCCCCCTTGTTTTAAGGGTTCTGATGGTGGTGTAAACAATGAACAGAGATAAAGATGGGGGGAGTGACCTTTTCCCTTACCCTCCCTCAGCATCCCCACAGTCAGACACTTCATGAAGCGGCAGGCCTGGCAGGACTTGCGCCTCCTCTTGGTGATCTCACACTCGTTGGTGGCTGGACAGCTGTACTCGATGTTCCCTGCGACACGGAGACATGTTGGGAGAAGACACAGAAATGTCTCATTTTAGAAGCATATTTAAAAAAAGACAGCTTTTAGAAACAACGTCAGCTTTTGTCAAAGACGACTGTGGACTAGTGGGTCAGACAAGACCACACCAGGTGTTACACAAACCAGCGGAACTTTAATTACTACAGTCGTCTACAGTCGTACAGCTCCCACTGAAACAATCAGGAACAGTGAGTATTGACTCCTGCTGTGGAGAGGAAGCCTCTCATTACCAGCTGATTAAGAGGCCAGTTAGCCAGAGAGAGGCTAAATGCACAAACACTGGCTAATGGCTAACAAGACCCTCGTTAATCTACTTCATTAGCTCAAGTCAAGGCAACACAATCTGCAGGACACACACAATCTGACTGAAGACACACAACACACACACTCACCCTTCGAAGATGATTCTAAACTGACTGAGGATGTAAGAGTTAATGAACCTGAGGTTTATCAGTGCAGAGCTGCTAATGAAGATGTAAGAGTTAATGAACCTGAGAAGGTTTATCAGTGCAGAGCTGCTAATGATAGCTGCTAATGATAGCTGCTAATGATAGCTGCTAATGATAGCTGCTAATGATAGCTGCTAATGATAGCTGCTAATGATAGCTGCTAATGATAGCTGCTAACTGTCAAAGATAGACATCTGTGACCAACCGTTGGGTCGCAACCCAGCCTCTGACAAACTGAGTTTCTAACTGTTTTTCTAGACTGAATTCTTTTCCTGTTTCTGTCAGACTCCAGGACATAAAGATGGGTCAGATGTCACTGCTGCTGCTCTGTACCAGCTTAAGTTAAAATGTTCTAAAACAAAAGGGAAACAAAAGTCCTGGGTTGTGTTTCCATCAGAGAACTCTGGGCAATGACCTTTGACACCAGGCCATGACCTGCGTCTCTGTCTGGTCTTAGGACTAAAAATAAAAAACCCAGATGGTTCTGGATCAGAGTTTCATTCACGTGTGGTTAAAATCTGGTTAAAGGTCAAAGGTCACACAGCTCAACACTGGACAAGGATATGCTGACCAAACTGGTCCCAGCTGTTGGAGACCAGTCTTCACTGGTTTTAGTCACTGACACCAGACACACACTAACCAGTTCCACCAGGTGTCAGCAGTCTGAACTAACGTTCTGTCCATCTGTGGTCCGACTCCTCTCTTCTTCTGGTTCTTCGTCTCTGATCCACACTCTGCCTCCCACTCTCTCCCCTTTATTCCTCCCTCTCTCTCAATAAGAAAGTGATAGATGCTGGTTGTCAGGTGTGGCTGGACTGGTGCCACAGAAACAGCAGCTCACACACACACACTTCATATCTAAACAGGTGTACACCTTTCACCTCCCCCACATCCCCCCTCTCTGTGGCACTCTCTCTGTCCAGCTGGAGGTGTTTTTTGTGATTACCTGCAGTTTTATTGGCTAATGGGTTGAAACATACCAATATGGCGGCTGCTGCCCATCTGAGGCCGTCCGACACTTCCCAGCCAACACACACACAAACAGACACACACAGTCTGACACACAACCGCAGGCCTGTGTAAAAGGATGCACAGCCAACCAACGATTCTTTCCTTTGTCAATAACCCCAATCCTCCCACCCCTCTGGGTACACACACACACACACACACACACTCAGCCAGTCTGTGTGTGTGTGTGTGAGCCTGGCTCCTGTTGTAGCCAAAGATAATGTCATGGTCCAGTTGTCTCTCAGGTCCAAAGCCTGTTCAGACCAACACTTGTACTGAGGCGTCAACATTAAATAACAGTGGACGTGGTTGGTCTGATCTGTCACCTCCACCAACTCCAGTACACACTGGAGCATCTGTCACCTCCACCAACTCCAGTACAGAAGTGTGTGTGTGTGTGTGTGTCAGTGTCTTCCTCAGGATGCTCGTCCTGATCTTATCTAACGTTAGCACACACAGGTCATCTTTACATGGTGTGGATGTAAGACCCCCCCCCTCCAAATAAACCCATTCATCCTGCCTTGTCTCCAGGGCTTTGAGGAGAAAGCAGCTTATCAAGGAGGCAGCGACGGATGGGAGGGCAAACGGAACGGCAGGCGGATGAATCCTGTCTGATATGACTGACTGACTCCACGGATCAATTGCTGCCTGGCTGGCTGGGGGGGGGGTCACTGAATGACTGACAAGTGATGGGCCGGTTAGTTATAAAGGGAGAACAAGAATGGACCAGGTCAGTTTTACTTGTGACTCCACTCTGACCACAGGGTCTGGGCTACATGGCGTGGGTCACAGGGTCTGGGTCACATCCTGGAATTTGAATACAATTTGACATTGGGGGGGTGTCACACCCTGGAAAGTTCCATCACATGGTCACATGTCGAGACATTGATGCCCCCCCACATCAGGGGTTCTTTGTCCAAAGACTTGTCCAACCTCCTGGACCAGTTATGACCCAACAGTCAAGTGGACTGGGTTTCTCTCTCTGGACCCCTGACCTCTGGGTTGGCATCTGACCTTCTGTTGATGCTATACTTCACCTTTAGACACCAAGGTTATATTTAACACTCCTCATTAGTTAGATGTGGTAACACACACATTCTCTCTACTGTTGTTGTTGTTGAGAAGGAGGTCAAGGTCAAAGGTGAGGGGGTGTCTGCTACAGTGTAAAGACCGCAGGCACAGGGAATAAATGTTGCAGGACAGGAAAAAGACTTGGAGCGTCCTGCTGGCTCACTTAGCAGACAGAGGACAAGGTGTGCCACATAAGAATCTGGGTTCAGGTTTAGCCTGAGGCCGAGGCCGTATGTCCTGGTTCTATCATGGAGGTGCACGTGTCGGAGAAGAAAACCCTCTGTGCACGTCATTAGATGAACACAGAGTGAGCTGCCGTTACAGACTTCAACGTTCTCTGGCCTTTAAGGTGACATTCTCTGTAGTTCCTGTAGGGGGCAAAGGAGAGGGGGCAAACATTTCTGTCTGTGAGTGGAAGAGTGATGGAGGCAGTCTCAGGAAATAAAGATAAAACCTGAGGATACCAGCAGGACTCTGGGACAGCGCTGGGTCCAAACCAGCTGGTCACTTCACACCAAACAGGCATCAGAGCTAACACTAGCTACAACAGTCCTGGTACAAACACCAGCGCTAACGTTAGCTACAATAAAAATGATTTAAATGTTAAATATAGAAGCAGTAATTGTACTGTGAGTTTGTGTTTTTGCGTAGTGGACAGATGTCTAACTAACCTGGAGTCACCTTGTCACCTGAAAACCTCTGACAGAAATTAAATATTTAGATAAAAAGTGAAAAGACCAGACCAAACTGAAACATGATGAATGAACTAATCAGGTCAAAGCAGAAGCCAACCTTGGATGGTGCGTTTGAAGAAGGCCTTGCAGGCCTCACAGGACGCCACTCCATAGTGGTATCCTGACGCGATGTCTCCACAGACCAGACAAAGCCTCTTAGGCATTGAATTCAGCATGTACTCGCATTTGATCTGAGACTCTTCCCCGATCGTTGACGAACAGTCCTCGTAACGCTTTGATCCGGGACCACCGGCCGGGCCCAGGGGGGCAGCGTTGGAGCCATAAAGACTTGGGGAGTCCAGGCCGTTGGGGTGGCCGTTCATGGTGGACGAGTACGAGCCTGAGGCGTCGCTGGAGCCACCAGGTGAGTGATGGTTTAGACTGTCAGTCAAGGAGGCAGGACTAGATGGTTCAGTCTTTATATAGGAGGATGGACAGTTGGACTCTAGGTGGCGCTCCTTACCGGACATTCTGCAGAGAAGCCTGGAACAAAAGAAGAGAAAGCAGAAGAGTGTTACATGTCTGGACATGAGAAGGAAGAAGAGCGAAGTGAGGCGGACGAAAAGTTTGAAAACTAAATATTTAAAAACATCTCTTCTAGTTCAACACCATCAGTGGGTATGACCGTGTTAGATGACCACTTCCTGTCTCAGTTCAGTCCTCACTGTAAAATAAACATAAAATCTTGAAGACACATTTCTTTATCCTCTGAACTCTTCACTCCTACAAACACGAAGGAGAGCTTGTGGTAGTTAAAGAGGATGGACACAGGATGGGACGGTGTTTGGGTGGCTGGCGGGGTGGAGGAGGACAGTCAACCTCCGTCTGCTGCTGCACCAACACATGCTCAGGCTCAATGGTCATCCGTCAACAGCCAGTCAATAACAGTTTGTTCTACATGAAGGTAATCATTAAGTAGACCCTCTGCCACTCAATCATCCAGGACACACACACAGACACACACACACACACACACACGCTAGGTGAGGTTTAGATGACGTTATTTGAAATTAAAATAAATCCAGCTCAGAAAACCTTTGTCCTCCTCTCTGGTCCATTCTCTTGGACAGCGTTAATTTATCAGTGTTTCACATATTTTTATCAAAAGTAGAAATGAAGAGTTTGAGAAAAAAGAAAAATCCTCCCCCTCCCTCCCCCCTTTGTCTTTCCCTCCATTGTTAGAAGCCTGAGACACAAACAGGTTTTTAATTTAAAGGCAGGACGCTCGGCTAACAGAGCGCCCTCTAAAGTCCAGTGGCTGTGCAGAAGATCTCTGTCCAACAGGGAGCAGTAGAACAGACAGAGAATGGAGGTCCTGTTAGAGGGTACGCAGAGGGGAGATGGGGGAGGTTAGGAGGGATTAGGACTGAAACAAACACAAGACAGAGGTCGACGAAGGTCAACGAAGGTCAGTGGTGAACGATCTGGACGGTCGGCTTTGTTTCAGTACTAATTATTAATATATAATCAATTATTTGTTGTTAAAGAAAAGTAATATTTGAAGATGTATTTCAGAAGAGTAAAATACAAACCAGTGATTAAACAACATGTCATATTTACTGGTGTAAAAAAGTGAAGAATATTTGGAGTAAAATCAAAGTGAATTAAACCTCAGGGTAAATGTCAACATAGAAAAAGGAAGAAAAACCTCTTCATTGTCCTGAAGAGAACAGCAGAGGTCACTCAGGGTCAAAGGTCAACGACCTGCTGCAGTCTCTTCATTTCATAAACCTTCCTTTGATAAAGTAAAATGACATTTATACTGTGTGACTTTGGCCTTTCATTAAATATATTTGAATTCTCTGCTCGCCCTTTCAGTAATAACGTGGAGTCCTCACGCTCTGCTGTAATTGGTAGTTGGCCACAGACCACAGTGGGGTGTATTAAACCCTGCTGAAGCCCAGCTTCAATCAGAGTCAATAGGACAGCCCCGTGTAGGGTCCCTCCTACATGTGGGACCTGTGGGGGGGGGTATATTTAAACTCCAAGAGCACAGAACAGAAGAAGGACAACAGTGACACAGAACTGTTTATGAGGAGCGACAGATCAACGGAGAGTGGAGCAGTTTCTGATGATGAGGATGATGAAGATGAGGATGATCTACTGTTTTCTCTCCCTTCTTCATTCTGCACTGCCCTACCTCCTCCCCACTCCCACTCCTGTGTACAATCAGGTCAAAGGTTTTAGGAGCTAAAGAACCTCAGGTGTTTCTCCTTTTCCTCCTGCTCCTCCTTGTCACATCGTCGTCCATCTCTTTTCTTCTCTCCTTAACTCCTCTTCATTTTTTCCTTCATCTCCTTTACAGCACTCCCCCCCTTTCTCTCTCTCTCTGTGCTTATTAATAAAAAAACTGATGGCGGTCCAATGGGGAGGAAAAAGAGAATAAAAGGCAGACATGTGTGCAGAGCAGAGCAGAGGAAAGAAGATTAAGAAATCACAGCCAGCGCCTGTTTCCACTGAGAGGCTGAATGCATTTATGTATGTATGTTATCAGTGTAATTATGGGGCTGCGCAGCCACAGCTCAGCAGTCTTATTGTTGCGCTGCTCTTCAGATGGGTGAGGACAGACGGGGGAGTCAAGCAATTTCATCTTTTTCTTTTTTAATTCCTCCTATATTTTAGTCTTTAAAGAGATCTGAGGAAGAAAGCCTGGAGTGGACCAAGATCTTCTTCTTCTTCTTCACTCAAGTGTTAGCGGAGTGGTGCTGTACGGGGGTCGGGGAGGGTCTTTCACTTCGTTCCGTCACACAAGATTTTACCTAGTCTACCTTTGTTTAGTTTGACGGTTATATATATTATTAAATATATTATTTATATAAATTTTTATAAATATATTATATTCTTTTGGTTTGATGGTCAAATATATTTACTATTAGTTTAGTTTGACGGCCTGTTGTTACAGCGGTGCTGCTCACTGACTGAGTAGTGTAGTGTACAGTATACACACACA